GTGAATCCTGGGCACATTTACCCATAAGTCAATGCCATTTAATTAGTGTGTGAGTAAAGGGTTGCAGCTCAGGAAAACTATGTGGAAACATAATTTTGGTGCTACTATGAAAAGCACTTTGTGAGAATATTGCCATTGAGAAAGTATACTATACCCTTCATTAAAAAGACAGTGTTATATGAAAAGAAAGCCATTTTGAGAAGATAAAGAACTAAAGGGTAGTTCCTGAAATACATCTTGGCACCGTTTCTTGGAGTTGTTTCGTTGTTCTGAAACCAATTACATACCTCAAGAGCATCATTGCCAAAGAGATTCTATGAATTATGCAGCAACCCTCATCTATAGGAACAAATAGAAAACCTGATAGCTCTGGAATAAGGCTTTACAATACCCAGGGTATTTGCATATGAAAAACTTGTAGATTAAGTTTTAAGAAGTGTTTGTTGCCCACATAATTTCATCCCCCTTTTATGCTTTTCCTCTGGAGAAAGAGTTTATTACATGGACGGGAGGAACCACTGTCCTAAAGTGCTTGGGGCTGCTTTCATAGCATTAGAAGCTGCTTGGAGGAGGAGGAGGAGGAGAGTTTGGATTTGATATCCCGCTTTATCACTACCCTAAGGAGTCTCAAAGGGGCTAAGAATCTCCTTTCCCTTCCTCCCCCACAACAAACACTCTGTGAGGTGAGTGAGGCGGAGAGACTTCAGAGAAGTGTGACTAGCCCAAGGTCACCCAGCAGCTGCATGTGGAGGAGCAGGGAATCGAACCCGGTTCACCAGATTACGAGTCCACCGCTCTTAACCACTACACCACATTGGCTCTCACTGGAGCCAGTGGCGGAGGAACCCTCTACGGCACCAGGGGCGGGGCAGCCCGTACGGACTGCACATGTGCAGCATCCCGCGCATGCGCAGTCTGTACAGAATGTCACACATGTGCAGTCTGTATGGGCTGCCACTTGCGCGGCGTCCATATGGGCTGTCGCGCGAACGGCATACCATACCAATTGCGCATGTGCGGCAGCCTGTAGAGTCACCACGCAAGTGGCAGCCCGTACAGACTGCGCATGTGCGGCGACCGTACAGGATGCTGCACATATGGACTGTGCACGCCCTCAGCTGCTCTACAGCTGGGGGGAGGCAGGGGCCATCTTGTCAACCCCCCCAAGTGGCACCCAGGGCAGCCTGCCCCCTCTGCCCCCCGCTTCATATACCCCTGACTGGAGCAAGACATCCCTAACACTAGGTGAGTTACTTGAGGCAACAGACCTCCTACCATAGTTCATTACAGGTCTAATTTCATAAGGATACATGGATATAATGGCATTTTAGAGTTTTAAAGGTAAGAGCTCTCATTGCCCACAAGATGAAATGTATTGATTGTTTATGGTCCCCAACAGCCAAACTGGAGCGCTTCAACAACCCCACACACTCAAACAAACAACAACAACAAAGTATCATCCCTCTCAGTCACTGCCCTTTCCCATGTAGAGTAGGAAGGAAAGCTGTGATCACAGTGGTACTTGCCTCCAATCCTCCCCCCCCCCCAAAAAAAAACTTCTTGCAGTCTGAAGACTAAGCCCTTCCTTGTCTTAACATCTGCTGACATCCACAGCAAATACCTCTGAGCACCTGAGAGCTTGGGCTGAACCACTTCAGAGAACATTATTCTACTGGGAGTTTGGCAGGCTTTGAAGAAGCAAAACTTGGCTGACATACCTTGAAGGTCACTAAAGTGCCAAGTTGACCTACATGCTCCAGCAGAGAAGGCGAGAGCACTCAGGAGCAATCTACATATCTCAACTTTCCGCTGTGTGACAAGAGACTCAACAGCAGCACCAGCAGTGCCAGCCAGAAAGTCCCCCGGAGCATTCAGGAAGCCATCAGATGCTGTAAGCTTCCAAAGAAAGACCACCTCAACAGGGCCCCTACCACTGCAGTCTGAAGTAGCTTCAACCACCCCAAACATATAGAATAAAAAGTATTGCTGAAGCAGAAGGAACATGGCCTCCACAAGGGCTGCTGATAAAAGACAGAGGAGTGGGACCAGGAGAAAAAGTGATGGCTCGACCTATTCTGACCTCTGGCTCCAGTACAGTTTGCTGCCCTGTCTCCACCAAGTCCAACCACCACCGATGCAGTTGAATTTCTACCCACACTAAGAGTCCCCAAGCCCCTCTCCTTCCTCTGCCACCACAAAGTCACTTTGTGCAGATCCAGGCCATTGAAACCAAGCTCCCACAGCCGACAGTCACCCTGAACCACCATTGACAGCAAAAGCAGCAGATATGTTCTATGTTTAAGTTAACATTTGATTCTCTTGTTAATTGTGCTTTTTTAAATGTGTATTTTATATTTTACTTCCTTTAGAAATAATATTTTATTTTGAAATGTTTAATAATTTGTTTGGTTCATTCTCTTGAGTTAAATGTGCATTCTACTCTTGGTGTCTTATTTTGAAAGCTAAAATGGTATTTTATTTTCCTTAATATCATATTCACTTTTAGCTCGAAACACACCTGATCAGTAGCCAACCCAGGTGCCCAAAATGACCAGGGAAAGCTTTTAACCTTCAGCTTGCTGAATTTGATGGTTTTCACAATGACATTAACTCCCTTGTACACCCATATCTCATCCATACTTCATATGTTGAGAAATAAAAGAGTTAATAGGAAAAGAAAACACCTCTGTCTGTGGTCTTGCAAATATTTAGTCAATAGGTCCATTCATAGACATGTGGAAGGGGGAGAGGGGAGAGGGAATAACTGACCCCAAAATGTATACGTAAACATATCATCAAAGATAATTGGAGTGCAGAATTACTGTTTACTTGCCCACTCATGAAAGAAAATTATGGTCCAACTTACAGTCAGTCCATGTCCTGATTATAAAATGCTGGTAAATTGATAGATTAGATCTGACAATCCTGTTTCTTTAGTTTCTACTCTTTCAACTCCCAAAACTCCTAACATGTTTGATAAAATGCTGGTGCTTTTTGTCAAGAAAGGACAAGCTAATATATGGGTCTGCTGTGCTCACACTTGTTTGTCTCTGATACAGGAAGGGTGAAAGGAATAGACAAGGCTTTGGGTATGCTGTGGTTTTACATAACCATAGGGAAAGCATGCAATTGAGTTCTGGACACAAACTCCAGCAACTTGAGCCCTTAACTTGCATATTTACATTTTTTGAGAGGGAAAGCCAAAACCATTATCCTTTCCATGCGCTGGGGGCCTGCAGTTATTTCCTAGAGTGGTTTCTAGTCCCATTGTGGAAATTTTTCCACCTCAGCTTCCAAGGCATTAGCCTTTTAACCCAGATGCCAGAAGGGCAGGATTTGGTGATATCAATAAATCCAAGCATCAATTTTCAATAAGCTGGATTCTGTTTCAGAGCCTAGATTTTTCCTGGCAACTGAAAGTCATTTGATTACACCATCCAGGATAGTTTCTTGTGAATTAGTGCATTAGAGACTGCTGAAGAGAGATGAAAAGTTCCCTATTAACAGGGAGATTCCTTAATGCTACATTCAGGCCTCTAATAGCATATCCTGCTTTAACTGAACTATGGCTGTACACACACCATATATTTCAAGCACATCCCTCCACCACAAAGAATTTACTCCTCACAGACCTACAATTCCCATGACCCTTAATGAACTACAGTTTCCAGAATTCTTGGGGTAAAGTTCCATGTGCTTCCTCTTTCCTCCTCCTTCTGTGTAATGGGGAGGAATAGGGAGAAGGGCAATAGCTCAATGGTAGAGCAGACAGTTTGTATCCCTGGTTCAATCTCCAGCATCTACAAGTAGGCCAGGGAATGTTTCTTGTCTGAAAAACTAGAGACATGCTGCCAGCCAGTGTCCATAATACTGAGCTAGATGGACCAGTGGCTTGATTCAGTAGAAGTCAGTCCCCCATGTTCCTAACAGCAGCAGCATCTAGCTATCTACCTATCTAGATATTTGTCACCCATCTGACTGGGCAACTTCCAGCAACTTATAAAACCACAGTAACTTCAACTTGCTCAGAACACAGGACTTTCTTGGTGGAGAATTTGGTATCATTATCATAGAACTAGTGCAGATGCAGAAATAGAAAATGTCAAAATTGGTTTGTTCCAGAGCCCTTCTGGTAAAATGGAAGCCATATAAAAACCTTTAACATACATCTTCTTGATTCAGTTTTAGTAGTCACTAAACATGTTTTACTAATTGCTCTCTCTATTTGGCTGTTTTTGAAAGCCTAAACACCTCGTGCATCACACAAAACTGGAAGGAATATAATATTTTCACAACGTACCCATCTTTCTTTACACAGAAACTGAATTTTCTTGGATGCACAATACCAGCACTCTGATTCATAGATAACCATAAACTGCATCTCAAGCCTGAGACATCTCCCTTCCAAATATATAAAGGTCACTTGTTTCACATTTTCTACTTCTTCCTATTGAGACACTCCTACGTTCTGCTTACTTCTCATGTGGTGTATCGGTTATCTGCCAGAATGAGTTACCGTACCTTTCAAGGCTCACAGTTCTAGGTCAGAAAAACCTCTATAAATAAAACAAGGCTATATACACACTACCACATTGTATATATCAGTGTGATGCAACACAGGAATACTCTTTGTTTCAAACACTCAACAAAGGGATATATCGCCTGTCAACAGAGCTGTAATGATGCACAAAAAGGAAATGTGTGGGAAACATTTGACAGAGGTTGTTTTGGTGGGTCATGAACACTTTCCTGTAAACAGGACAGGCACTCCATGGAGTCACTATGGGTCTGTCCCGACAACAGCATCTCCCAGTAAAGTCAGCCATAATTAAGAAAATGAGGGAAAGTATTATACCAGGCTAGAAGACATTCAAGCTGTTTTAGGGGACTACTATTCCCATCATGCGTAAAAACCTGTTGGCCTGTTTTGAACAACTGGCACAGCATTCCTAGGGGTTATGTAGAATAGTTCTTTTAATCTCTTAAGAAATGGGACTCACCTGCTAAAGTACGTCTTCAATGTGGAACTCAGTCTTGATTTTCTACTTTGCATGTCCATCTTCCTCCTCTTTAAAAACATCCTATCATTGAAAGGACAAATAGGACAGGTCTATCAGTCAGAACTATTAGCTAGGATTAGGGACAGAGAAGAATAATAGAATTTGGAAGAATTTGGAATAGAGTTGGAAGGGACCCTGGGGGCTATCTAGTCCAACCCCTGCAATGCAGGAATCTCAACTAAAGCATCCCTGACAGATGACCATCCAACCACTGCTTAAAAACCTCCAATGAAGGAGGCCAACAACCTCCTGAGGGAATCCATCCCACTGTCGAACAGCTCTTACTGTCAGAGAGTTCTTCCTTGTGTTTAGTCAAAATCTTCTTTCTTGTAACTTGAATCCAATTTGATTCAGTTTGCATTTAAAACCCGGTTTATCAAATTTGCACTATCTGAAACAATATGGAAACCAAAACACAGCCTTCCTTCAAAATTTGCACTTATCCATATTTTGCAATGCAGTTCTCCAACCAATCAGTGTTTACAAGAATGCATATATTAGGTAGGAATGTGAATCAAAGGGAACATATTGTTGAATAGAACACGGAAAATGTATATTAGGAGAAATTGCTTCAGAAATGTGTATGAGTCAAAACTGCATACAAAAATATGTTTATTAAGAGAAATTCACACTAAATGCTGAAGAATTTTGATGAAGATTTTTTTTAAAAGTAAAGTTTGCACATCACTGCAGAAATGTGGAGACCTAAATTTAAGACAGGAAAAATGAGAACTGTAATTGACAGGTCACTCCATCCCTCATGAGGATAGCTAAATGGCACCCTCCCTGACCAAAGCTTATTGCCTCTTCTCTCCATCAGCTTCTATTGCTTTCAGCCAATGACCATTGAAGTGTTCCAATAAATAATGATTGATTCTGGCAATGCAAACTTCCAGAAGTTACATTTAAGAAAAGAGAAACAACGAACAGCATGATAACCCAATGTATCAATATGTTCGTCAAATTAAAACATAGTGATGGCAATTAACTGTGAAGTCTGAAATAGTTTTTGTTTGGATTTTTGAGACGATACAGAATGTAAAAAATAAACCCAATGACCCCTAATTGTGGCTTCCTGTCAATATCTAAATGGGCATCACTCCTGGAAATAGGATACTGGTGATGTTGGACCTTTGGCTAAACCAGCAGGGCTCTTCTTATCTTCTTAAAAATGTTTTCAGGTTGCTTGGAAAACGGTTAACACCAAACAAAAGAGGAATTGTGATTTCACAAGTGATGAGGCTGAGGAAAAACAGCTGGTGTACAGCACAGCAGCTTCTTAATTTAAACAACAACAAGCCCACCAGACACAGGAACTTTGGATAGTTTAACAGTAACGAAGAAGAAGAAGAAGAAGAAGAAGAAGAAGAAGAAGAAGAAGAAGAAGAAATTTTATTTATATCCCGCCCTCCCCAGCCGAAGGGCAGCTAACAACAATCAAATAATCAAATAATCCAACATTCTAAAAACATTTCATTATGAAAATTAATTAAAATCAAATTGATGGCAACCGTTAAGCAAAATTCTGTGCAGGTTGCCAGAGGAGGGAGTCAGGCTGCGCCCTGACCAAAGGCCTGGTGGAACAACTCTGTCTTGCAGGCCCTGCAGAAAGATGTCAGGTCCCGCAGGGCCCTAGTTTCTTGTGACAGAGCGTTCCACCAGATTGGAGCCGCAGCCGAGAAAGCCCTGGCTCTAGTTGAGGCCAGCCTAACCTCTCTGTGGCCTGGGACCTTCAGGATGTTTTTATTTGCAGGCCGTAGGTTTCTCTGTGGGGCATACCAGGAGAGGCAGTCCCGTAGGTACGAGGGTCCTAGGCCGTATAGGGCTTTAAAGGTTAAAACCAGCACCTTAAACCTGATCCTGTACTCCACCAGGAGCCAGTGCAGCTGGTATAGTACCGGATGAATATGATCTCGCAGCGAAGACCCCATAAGGAGTCTCGCCGCGGCATTCTGCACCCGCTGGAGTTTCTGGGTCAGTCTCAAGGGCAACCCCACGTAGAGCGAGTTACAATAATCCAGTCTGGAGGTGACCGCCGCGTGGATCACAGTGGCTAGGTCAGGGCGAGAGAGATAAGGGGCCAACTGCTTAGCTTGGCGGAGATGAAAAAACGCCGCCTTTGTTATAGCTGTAATCTGCGCCTCCATAGAGAGGGAGGTATCGAAGATTACACCCAAACTCTTAACGGGCGGTGCTGGCACTAATTGCACCCCCGCAAGAGATGGGAGTTGCCCCCTCAATCCCATATCGTCCCGTCCCAGCCAGAGGACCTCTGTCTTCGAAGGATTTAACTTCAACCGGTTCCCACGTAACCATCCAGCCACAGCTTCCAGACATCTGGTCAGTGTGTCTGGGGCCGAGTCAGGATGGCCATCCATCAACAGATAGAGTTGGGTGTCATCAGCATACTGATGGCAACCCAGCCCAAAACTCCGGACAAGCTGGGCGAGGGGGCGCATAAAGATGTTGAAAAGCATTGGGGAGAGAATCGCACCCTGAGGCACTCCACACACCAAGGAGTGGCGCGATGACAATTCCCCCCCAAGCGCCACCCTCTATCCCCGACCAGAGAGAAACGAGCGCAGCCATTGAAGGACTGTGCCCTGGATCCCCACGTCGGCAAGGCGGTGGTCCAGGAGTTCGTGATCGACCATGTCAAAGGCTGCTGACAGATCTAGAAGAATCAGCAGCCCCGACCCGCCTCGATCCAGCTGCCTGCGGAGATCATCTGTTAGGGCGACCAGTGCCGTCTCGGTCCCATGACCAGCGCGGAAGCCGGACTGGAATGGATCCAGAGCCAATGTTTCATCCAGAAACCTACCAAGCTGTTCAGCAACCACTCTCTCAATCACCTTACCCAGGCGGTAATTGGATAGATCTAAGGGATCTAATGATGTTTTCTTTAAGAGCGGGCGCACCACTGCCTCCTTCAGTTCCCCTGGGAATATCCCAGTGCCAAGGGACAAATTGATGATATCCCCCAGGGGGGCCCGCACCTCGTCTGGACACACTCTAATCAGCCATGATGGGCACGGGTCAAGAGGACAGGTGGTGGGCTTTCCAGCTCGGAGGAGTCTGCCCACATCGGCTGGAGATATCCGGTCAAAGTGGTCCAATACTGGACCCGAGGACAGTCGAGGGGCCTCCAGTTCCTTTATTGTATCCAAATTGGCAGGGAGGTCATGGCGGAGCAACAGGACCTTCTCCGCAAAAAAGCTCGCAACTCCTGTTTTTTAATTCAATCCCGCCTTGCTGGCTCAGAGCTAAGACAACTCCTAAGCAAGGAGTTGCCTAGAACTTCTATGCTTCAAATGGACAATGGAAGAGTTCAGACACTATACATGCAAATGCATGTCTCAAATGCCTTTCCCAATTAGACGCACCCATTCAGTTCCATTGAAATTATCCTCAATGTCTTCTATGGAAAAACTGCATTGCTTTAAAGTGCCAGGCAAAATTCCTGGCCTGTGAACCTACAGGCAGGGAAACATACATTTGTATGCACAGTGCTAAGGTGTGTTAAAACTCTTGTATCTTGCAATTAATCGGAAATGGAAGTGGAAAATGTTTTCCAGCCCAAAGTCTGTTTTCGCTCATGGGTAACTTTCCAGAAGCTTCAGGCCAGCAGTGGGAAGGGCAGAGGCAAAAATTGGTGTGGCTAGAAGCAAGAGCAGGCAGAGCGATGGATAAAAACTCTTTCCTTTGAACAGTAGGCTACATTCCAGCCACACAAAAGTCAAAGGTTTCTTCTGCACACACATAGCATCCGTCCTCTATCCAGGTCAGCGAGAGGAATTATCACAGTTCAAGAACATGCTCCACCCAGGCAAAACCAATCCAGGGAAGCACAGAGGCAGTGAAAGGTCATAGACACATAATTGGAAGGAAACACGAGGATCATCTAAGTTCAGCCACTGCAATGCAGGAATCTTGCACCCAGTGTGGGAATTGAACCCACAGCCATGATATTAAGAGTCCCATGCTCTACCAACTGAGCTATCCATCCTAAGCAGAAGGGTGTAGCCTGGGGAAAGTCCCAAGGGCTGGATAAAGAGACCTGATGGACTGTCTTTGTCCTGTGGGCCTGAGGTTCCCCCATCATTGTAATAAATATTCATAAGATAATATTTAAAAAGTGATTATAGAGTTTTGCAATTGCAGCTTTGCACAGTTTTGTGGGGGAAGTAAATAAATTGGGTTTCCCCCACTCTCCATTTTTTTAATTTGTTCTCCCACATACACACGTGCACAAAGCTGTGGTTGTGTCAGTAAAATAAGTTGTGAGTCACCTGTATTAGAAGAAATGTGTGCTAAAATGCTGACAAACCTTTATGAGGAATTTAAGAGAGAGAAAATCACAGACTGATGCAGAAATGTGAAATATTGAACTTAACACTGGAAGGAGAGAGGAAAAACCCTCTGGGAAACCAAAGTTGACCTATTTGTCCATCAGGCTAGTCGCAAAGTTCTAGATGCAACAACTGTATTCCAAAACAGATTGCACAGTTTTAATCCAGTACTGTTTCAGGTTATGAATGATTCCTAAATGCCAATAAGACAAACACTAAAATAGAGCACAGCATTGTTAAAAGCCTCAGGAAATTATTAGAATTATCATTACTTTATCAAATCAATCACAAAGAAGAAGAAAATCCTCTCTCAGCAATCACTAACATCATTTTGGTCAAACGGGCAGAATAACAAAACAGTGTAATGTACGTTTGATATACAGCAGCAAAATCAACCACTGTGGAAATAATGAGATATTGACACAAAAAAGAGCATGTGCGAGCACACCACAACCACAGAGTCAGAGGATGTTATGAGTACATTATGAACCTTTACTCAGCTGTCACTATGCCCCACTGTTCTTCCTGACAGGTTATTTTTGTAATTGTAGCAGAACTCAGTGTATGTACTGTACAGCTATAGAAAATACATTTCACCTTGCAAACTGGATTACATTAACTTATGCAATTGCTCTTTCAGAGCAAATGATCCTGCATTATTCAGCCCTACTC